TTGGAAGCTTTGTGAATTCCCCACTCCTCTCGAATTTATCTATCTGCAAGACCTGTAGCTCTGTTCCTATAGCACATGCAGGATAGAGCAGAACCGACAACCTTTATGGAGTCGCAACCTCCAATTCAGGGTTCAAAAGAGAAATGAAAAATAGGAAACCCTCTTTCATGATATTCCAAACATTCAATTCATTCCCTACATTTCTGTTTTGATATTTGCAATGAATTAAGGCATTTCACGTGTTCCCTATTATTGTAGCTTTGCAGGAACAGCCATAGGACTGTCGTATCAAGAGCAACGCTCTCCAGTAGATCCATTTCATAAATTGCAAGGAAGGATTAAAAGGAAATGAAGAATAGGAATGAGGAATAGGCAATACAGGAGAAAGCTTGGTTATGCCAAGAAGTCCATTTGAGGTAAGAATTCGTAAAAGAGTTATGTTAGGGTTAAATCAAAATATACGTCAAGAATTTCATGAAATCCTAAGAGGTTTACGATTTTCAGATTGTTTATACTAGGCAACGAGCATAGGGACTAAGAAAACTCTTCGTAGGACTGCTCCATCAATTCAAGTTAAATAATCATGTGTTAAATTAAGAATAATAATTTTCTATAAGATTTTCTAGATGAATTCCATGATATATGATTGCATTTAGAACTTCTACATATTGTCGAATACCTGTGAATATTATATGTATGCCACATTGAACTAACACTAATGATGATTATGATTTTCCCACAATATATAAAGATGAGCATGTTATAATATGTTTGCTTGCAGGTATTCATATCATGTTGATTATGCATATGATTATGAATTGCATATGATTGTTTATTATAAGAATTATAATTACAGAAATATCATAAGTTTTGTGTCAAGTAGGCTATTACATGAAAGTTTGTAAGTACGAATGATATGGAATGATGAGATTGTTGGCTTCTGGTATTCAAACGGAGACGAAATCCATGAACCGTTGGTATCAGACGGGGGAGGAAAGTAAGGAATCGTTGATATCAGAAGGAGCTATTAATAACTGTTATGTTAGAAGAGGTCTGACATTTATTAGTGGTTAATGAAGACTTCAAGTAGGGTGACGACCGAATGACGTGAAACAACATGAAAATAGTTAAAGTGTATACAACAAATGGCATTCTTATGATTACAATTACTGACTATGAAATCCTTCTAAATATGTCTATGATTGCATGTAAATGTGAATTGATGAAATATATATTTTACATAGATGTCATGATTTGCTATACTATGTCTTTTTCATTAAATGTTGTACCTGATAAAAACATATTGTGAAATGTTCTATTGACGTGCATATGAGCCATGATTTTCATGCACGCTGTTTTTTTCTCGTCAACAAAATTTTTTATTTAACCTTTGATTATTTTGTTCAGCTTATTGTGGCTCACTCTATATTAACTTTTAGGAAAGATTAAAGAGTACCGGGGCGAGTAGCCAGGTGTGACGTATACAACTTTTACATTATATAATTCTGAGAGCTTGTATAGACACTTGGGCATATACTTCTATTATGTTGAATTTTTTACGAATCCAAGAATATGAATGTGAATCAATTATGAAATGAAATGTATTATTATTGTTTGAGGCAATTTAGTTAGACTAATTCATCGTCCATTGGGTCCTGATTTTTCAAGTCAGAACGAGTGCTCGTGAGAATTTAATCTGACTGAATCGTCCATTATTGTTGCACCGCGGTTGATCTTAATAAGGGGTCAATGGAGGTGTGACAGTGGGTGAAGTCATGTGATATTTAAATTTCTAAAATGACTACTTGTATTTGACATTATATTTTGCTATTTTAAACTTTTTTGGGGCTTTAAGATGGTATACATATTTCTATTAATTAAGAGATTAAATAGTTAGGCTCATCGTCTAATTATTCTATTGGCAAATCACTTTGATTATTTGGGGATACATTGTTTCCTCAACCAAAATAGCATAATCAGTTTAAAAGTTTCCTTCATTAGTTACGAAGCTAGCCTATTCTCCATTGTTCAAATGCTTTTGAATTTGATGATTGCAAGACAATATATCAAGGAAGGTAAACATGAGATACTTCACTATCAAGTTAACAAGAGTGTGGATGTATAACAAAAACTAATTCTCATTAGGGCATGTGTCGTTGAAGTTAGTGAAGCATGCATACATATTCTTCACTTGTTGCTGCTCTTGACCATCATAAAGATTAAGATCTGATCTTTAAGTATTTGACCTCCTAAATGAATTTAAGGAGTTTTTTGACCTATTATGATGAATTTGCGTCAATCTGGCTCCTTTTTCCTTTTTTTACTTTATAGGCATAACATTTGGTCAAACATTCAATTGGTAGCTTGATGAAAGCAAGAGTATCCTCGGTACAGCAGACGAGTCCTATGGCAAAAACATCAATATTATCTCACAATAAAATAATTAGCTTTGATGATTACATGTCAAGCAAAATTAAATGTTTAGATCTCATTGGAACCTTCAATGTCAATTGAAGTTTTAAAAACCTAGTGCCTCAATAATCTCTTGCTTACGCTTGCCTTGTCTAGCTTGAGCGTTTTAATTCTCAAGCTTCATTTATGGTTAGATGAGCTTTCCAAATAAGTAAAAAGGTTGCTCAGGTGGCAAATCCAAACTTTATATAACTATGAGGCTCATCATAGATACAACTTGGTTTTGCCAGGCCAAGATATGTGGTGGCAGAGCTATTCAAGTTATCTAAAACAAACTATCTATTTTTGCATATCTTACCTAATTAGGTGTTGTGTCACTCTATTCTACACATCATGCTCTGGAAATTTAATAGCCTTGATCACCCAAGATGTTCCACCATGTGTACGGTTCATATCACTCCTCCAACAGTCAAATTCCTTCCCAAACCAACAGCTTAAACTTATGGGAGAACTAACTATCACTACTTCTATAATAATATTTTTTTCAACTATCCGCTGTAAGACCGAGCTAATACTCTCCTGTTCCTTATTTAGGTATAGCCATAACTAATTCAGAAGTAGATAATAACAGCTTTAGTTGTGATTAATAGTGGTAACCCCAGTAAAGTAAAACAGTTGGCATGATGACAGAACTAGAAATCTTTTTTACTATACGAGAACTAGTAAATTATGAATATTTAAGGCAACTAAATGATGATTATTAGTGCGATTGCAAATGATGCATTCTACTGGAGTTTATAATATGATAGGTTCTATGTCATTCGCTTCCAAAATAGAATAGGAGGCTGTTTGTAAAACAAACAATAATGCTAAAGCAGTGTAGTTATGGTCAAAGCATTACAGTAAAATCACAATAATAGGTAACGTTCATATTTTCAGAAAATTTTTTCGTCCTTCGATTCCAGTTAAAAATTTTTTTAGACATTTTCATGAGAAATCGTTGATTATCTGAAAGAGAAGAGGAAGATATAGTTAAATACTTCAAGAAGCACAAAGTAGAGAGATTCAGAAACCAGGATGAATTGCACAACTCCCAGTATAGTTTCGTAGGAAACAGCTGTAACCCTATCAAACATTTCAATTATATATCTTCAAAATGCAAAGCTTCAAAATCAGTAGCTTAACTTTCCCCCCAAAAAATTTATTAATAAAAGGATTCAATTTAATTGTTTGCCACTCCTCAATTATAGTACGCTTTTGAGATTAAAGCCTAAATTTTTTTTATAAATAGACAACTCATTTAACTTTAAGCTTATTAACGCTCTTATGACAATAATTAATTTTATATAGATGCTAAAGTTGGTGATGTAGATTCTGAAATTAAAATCTTTTTTAAAAATATTTTAATATTTCTTGAAACTATTATCAAAAACTCATTGAGTGAACACAAACAAGTTTTTCGGATGATTGAATTCTGATATTTTCTAATTTAAACAGCAAAATTTTTCATTAACAAAACAATGGACTAAATTCCAATTGCCGCTTTCAGCTTCGACCGTTGGAATGTGTTATTATTGGGAAATTTATATGCATACCACTCAATTCCTATGTATTTACATATCTAACACCTAAACATTAAATTTTACATACACCACCTTATCTTTGCTTAAAAAAAGTTGTATATCACTTTTTGAAAATTAAAACAATAATATCTCAAAAATTAAAATATGATATAAAAATTTTGGGTGGAATAAATGTAAAAAAAGTAAAATTTATATGTTAGATGCTTATATACATAAGAAATTGGTGGAATGGATGTAAGTGCCGCTATATTTAACAAAAAATCTTATTTTTATATACTCCAAATATATATTTGTATTATGCGTTTTTTTATTTTTCTTATATTTGAGAAAATCAAAATAGAAATAAGAAAATGAGATAAAATTATAATTAGTTTGGAGATGCAAATTTATTTATTAATTATTTTTCATATATTTATTTATTAGGTTTTTTAATAAATATTTTGCATTTAGTTTGAGTTTTTCATGATATTATATTTAATGTAAAAATTTATATTAAAAAGTAATATTATTTTTTTAATTTATAAAATAATATAAAATATATTGAAATGTTTGTAATAATATTTAATTTATCAATGATAATGAAATATAAGCATTGATTTTAAATTATGTAATATTTTTTAACTATTTCATTTTTATAATAAGTTTGCTCCCCTGAAAAAAGAGGTTAGTTCCGCTCCTGTTCCGCTACGTCTCCCATATCCATGCCAAGCAACCCCAAAAATTATTTAAGTAAACTAGAAAAAAAATAAATTTTTTTTTTCATACAAGCCTTTAGATAAAGTGCAGAACTCCATAAGGAAAGAGGTACCCATATCATAATGTCCCAAATATCAAAAACTAAAGGCATGAAAATGAATATTAATACGAAACACTGTGAAATAACAGAATAAAGCATATGGGAGAAAATAAAACTACGAGAAATTCTAGCAAATGCATTTGTGCATCAACATTAATCTCAATAAGCAAAGAAGAAAACATTTGTGGTTCAAAGTAGTTTGTGTCTACCTCATCAAAAATCAGGAGAGCTCCAGCATCATCACAAGCAGAACGCAATGTCTGCAGAAATTCCTTAGCTGCACTATGTATTCCACCTTCACCCTGGATAGGCTCCACAAAAACTGCAGCTGTTTTACCAGGCACTATTGCTTTCTTAGCGCCATCAATGTCTCCATACTTTACAAATTGGACTCCAGGCATGAGAGGCTCAAATGGTTGCCTATAATTCTCTTTACTGGTCAGAGCAAGTGCACCCATTGTCCGCCCATGAAAACTATTACTGAAAGAAACGAACTCTGTGGCATGTGTGCTACTATCATGTGAGAATCTCTGAAATTTCCTAGCAAACTTTATAGCTGCTTCATTTGCTTCTGTTCCAGAATTTGTAAAGAAAACACGATCGGCAAAGGAGCACTCTATTAAGTGTTCTGCAAGTAAGACCTGCCCCACAGAACATATAGACTTCAATATCCTGCCTCTAGGAGGAGAATAAGCTCATAACAAAAAGAGCTTTGCATTATTTTCATGTACATTTCGAGGTTGTTTGGTTGCATGTAGTGAAAGATGAAAAAATTATTCTTTTTTTTCCTTTTTCTTGGGGGAGGGGGAGGGGAATATTAAAGTCCATAATGCCTATTACAAAGATTTTGGAGATCTCACCCAATTGGGTGAATTTTAAATACAAAGAAATTTTATAACTCACATCCCCACCTCCAGTAGTTGGCCATCGTTACCGTAGCTCACCGTACACAACCAACACCCCACAAATTGCGTGATGATTTGTGGCCCATCGCACAGAAGGACGAGTTGTTTCTTCATGTTGCTCCTACTAGTCTAACATATAACTAAAGGCATAGATCAAATAAAAGGAATCATGACACAACTAAGTTACTCGTTTAAAATTGCTACCCCCGCTCCCCTAATCATTGCTTTCATAAATGACATTGAATCTACTTATCGAATCTTGGTCTCCTTTACCCGTAGATAACCCCTAAACAGTCTACATCAATTGCCTCGCCACTTTCATAACTTATATATAACCCCTAAGAAAACCTAACTCAAATGGATGTTTTTAAAAGACATCTTAAACAAGCATTCTAATTATTTTGCATATCTATGTATTTTAAAAACATCCAACCAAGCAAATCCTTAGCAAATACAAAACATGCATTCCAATATTAAAAGAAAGACATTTTTCCAATATACAAAAAGTACAAAATGACATCTAAAGTTAGGCTAACAAAGTATTTCACTATTCACATTAAATTTGGGCATCTTAGCAATGCTCTCAGGTCATGAATTTTTCATACATTACCCTTCGCAAAAACTAGCACATTAAATGAATGAACAAAAACCTCTACACTTAATCGAATTGGCACTTGGACCAAATATAGTGTAGTGTATGAGCTTCTGCAAGGTATGTTTTTTTTTTAAATACAACGATGTCTATTCCCACCAAAAGACACTTGTTTTGGTAGTTCCTACATCCTGAGTAGAGTTCCAAAGTTCGACTCATTGCAAAAAAGATGGTCTACTTTATCTCTAAAATAGGACCTCCATAAAAAGCAAAAAATAAATTATTCCTTGGTTGTTATGTAGTGGCAAGCCAACAATTCTTTAAAAGAAAAAAAATTATATACTTGGCAAACTAAAAAAAACAAAGAGAAACAAAATAGAGCAACATCCATTCATCCATATGTACAACCATGATATAAGATCATATTGAAGATGAGTCGATTAATCTTGAGTTGACCCAAACAAATTGTTGATATGCTTAAATCAGTCTCTATTTGAGCTAGAATCACAATCTTTTTGTCTACATGCCATAAACTACCATACTCAAATAAATTACCAACCATATAAACATATATATACTTGCATTAAACACATGATTTTGAATCCATACAAATAATAATAAAATATTACACATTTATGCATAAGTTCAAATTTAGGCAGGCTTGCTCATATTAAAGTCTATAATGCCTATTACAAAGAATTTGGAGATCTCACCCAATTGGGTGAATTTTAAATACAAAGAAATTTTATAACTCATATCCCCACCTCCAGTAGTTGGCCATCGTTACCGTAGCTCACCGTACACAACCAACACCCCACAAATTGCGTGATGATTTGTGGCCCATCGCACAACTTTGATGAACTAACCTAGGCATTATTTCATCCTATTAAATGTTTTACATAGTAGACCAATAAGAAGGACGAGTTGTTTCTTCATGTCGCTCCTACTAGTCTAACATATAACTAAAGGCATAGATCAAATAAAAGGAATCATGACACGACTAAGTTACTCGTTTAAAATTGCTACCCCCAAAATAGAGCAACATCCATTCATCCATATGTACAACCATGATATAAGATCATATTGAAGATGAGTCGATTAATCTTGAGTTGACCCAAACAAATTGTTGATATGCTTAAATCAGTCTCTATTTGAGCTAGAATCACAATCTTTTTGTCTACATGCCATAAACTACCATACTCAAATAAATTACCAACCATATAAACATATATATACTTGCATTAAACGCATGATTTTGAATCCATACAAATAATAAAAAAATATTACACATTTATGCATAAGTTCAAATTTAGGCAGGCTTGCTCATATTAAAGTCTATAATGCCTATTACAAAGAATTTGGAGATCTCACCCAATTGGGTGAATTTTAAATACAAAGAAATTTTATAACTCATATCCCCACCTCCAGTAGTTGGCCATCGTTACCGCAGCTCACCGCACACAACCAACACCCCACAATTTGTGCGATGATTTGTGGCCCATCGCACACCTTTGATGAACTAACCTAGGCATTATTTCATCCTATTAAATGTTTTACATAGTAGACCAATAAGAAGGACGAGTTGTTTCTTCATGTCGCTCCTACTAGTCTAACATATAACTAAAGGCATAGATCAAATAAAAGGAATCATGACACGACTAAGTTACTCGTTTAAAATTGCTACCCCCGCTCCCCTAATCATTGCTTTCATAAATGACATTGAATCTACTTATCGAATCTTGGTCTCCTTTACCCGTAGATAACCCCTAAACAGTCTACATCAATTGCCTCGCCACTTTCATAACTTACATATAACCCCTAAAAAACCTAACTCAGATGGATGTTTTTAAAAGACATCTTAAACAAGCATTCTAATTATTTTGCATATCTATGTATTTTAAAAACATCCAACCAAGCAAACCCTTAGCAAATACAAAACATGCATTCCAATATTAAAAGAAAGACATTTTTCCAATATACAAAAAGTACAAAATGACATCTAAAGTTAGGCAAACAAAGTATTTCACTATTCACATTAAATTTGGGCATCTTAGCAATGCTCTCAGGTCATGAATTTGTCATACATTACCCTTCGCAAAAACTAGCACATTAAATGAATGAACAAAAACCTCTACGCTTAATTGCATTGGCACTTGGATCAAGTATAGTGTAGTGTATGAGCTTCTGCAAGGTATGCTTTTTTTTTTTAATAGAACGATGTCTATTCCCACCAAAAGACACTTGTTTTGGTAGTTCCTACATCCTGAGTAGAGTTCCAAAGTTCGACTCATTGCAAAAAAGATGGTCTACTTTATCTCTAAAATGGGACCTCCATAAAAAGCAAAAAATAAATTATTCCTTGGTTGTTATGTAGTGGCAAGCCAACAATTCTTTAAAAGAAAAAAAATTATATACTTGGCAAACTAAAAAAAACAAAGAGAAACAAAATAGAGCAACATCCATTCATCCATATGTACAACCATGATATAAGATCATATTGAAGATGAGTCGATTAATCTTGAGTTGACCCAAACAAATTGTTGATATGCTTAAATCAGTCTCTATTTGAGCTAGAATCACAATCTTTTTGTCTACATGCCATAAACTACCATACTCAAATAAATTACCAACCATATAAACATATATATACTTGCATTAAACGCATGATTTTGAATCCATACAAATAATAATAAAATATTACACATTTATGCATAAGTACAAATTTAGGCAGGCTTGCTCATTCACTTTGACCTGAACATGATACAGGTCAAAAGTATTCTCAATCCTTCTTCGATGTAAGTGCCAATTTGAAACATAATTTTAGTACAACGTGAAACTTTTAAGACTATTTAACTACAAGATTCCTACTATTTTTGCGTAAAAAGAAAAAAAAAATGTAGTAACATTTTCTTTCAATCTCTTCAACTCATGTAATACAATAGCTTGTTTTGTTTATCTCGAAGTACGAGAACAATGGAAATTATACTAACTAGCTAAATATTGCTTGATTGCTTGATCTGAACCTTTAAGCTGGCCTATTAATTTTTTACAAAACAATGAGAATTCCTAAATATTCTAGAATAGTATCAGCTCATTGGCAGATCCATATACTACCCATTCAATGCTAAACGAACCAAAATGGTAATGCTCAATCCAGAAAAAAGAAAATTCTTGGCAACAAGAAAACACTAGATTAATACACTGTTTGGTTAGGACCTGAAGAACAGAAAATGAAAAACAAATGAAAATGGAAATGGTAAAAGAATTGATTTGAAATTAGTTTTCACCTTCCTGTACGGTTGAGAGGAATTGAGGGAATTGAAATTAGTTTTCTCAATAGGGAAGAAAGAATGGCCAATATGTTGAAGAATGAATACAACCTAATGTTATTCAAAATTTAGATTTAATTAAGCTTTCGACTAGCTAGTTTTAAGAAGACAATCACAAAGACAAATATGCAGATCATCTAATTTATAGCATATGCAATCAATTTCTTTAGAACTCCACCCAAACCAAACTCTCAACATGTAATCATGAAGGGAAAATACCTCCTTTTGACCAAATTCCTTGAAACTAAACACAGCCTTAACTATCATATGTCAACACGTTTCAATCCATGCATTATATAACCTCAAACAGAATATCCAAGGTATGTTAACTATGGCCAAGGACCAAGGAAAGCAAAACATTGAAGCATCAAAATAGAACTTCTCGGAAAAGAATCAATCAAATCGAGGCCTAGCAACAAAAAGTAGCTTGCAGAGACAAAATGTGGAAAAAACTAAAGAAAAAAAAAAAGGAAAGAAAAGGTCCTTTCTTTTGTACTTATAAATCGTGCCAATTTCAAAATCAAAACAAACGAGGAAAACACTCACCTGGGGTTCTGAATAGTACATATTACTGACATGTGCAAGACTGTTAGCCTGTTCCACTAACGCGTTCACCCAGTCACCATCACCATGACCAAGCGAGTTCACGGCAATCCCCGCTGCCATATCCAAATATTCCATACCATCAACGTCATACACTTTGCAGCCTTTGCCCCTGACAAGAACGACCGGAGCCCTAGCGTAAGTCCCTATCAAAACCCTCTTTTCTCGGTCAATTAGATCTTTGCTCTCCGCAGATAGCGTCCGGTTCAACGAAGAGATGGAGGAAGGGGACTTCTCTTCGGAAACCAGACAGGAGGAAATGTGAGGAATTTGACGTGGGTTGAACGGCGGCGTCTTGTGAATGTTCAATCGGAAAAGATGACGGAGATCATTCGCCGGAGCAGTGGAGGCGGCGAGGAAAGATTGGAGAGAGTACATGTCTTGGCTTTAGGTTGATGTTCTGTTCAATGAGGGCTCCTTTCAGGGCGCGGTTCGACTCCGTTGCGGCAGTGAGAAAGCGGAAACCCGCCGTCTGGACGAAGTATTAGAGGCTCGTTTGAGAAAACTTCACTTCTCGAAAGTCCGTTTAAACATAGCGGCATGTTACGTGTTGCACTGGAACACTCGAGGCAGGTCTCCTGGTGGCAAGTTTTGGAGATTATTGTAGGGTTATTAGTGTGTTATTATAAGATTATGCAAGAGGTTACAAAGGGGTTGAGATAATTGGGCGCTTATTAGGGTGTTATTATAGGATTATTGCAGAGTGTAATTACGAAGGTTGTTGAGAGTGTAATAGCGGAGGTTATTGAGAGATTATTAAGAGTTTATTATGGCGTTGTTAGAATTAATGCTTTAATAACTCCTCAATAACTTATAATTACTCTCCTAATAAATTTTGCGGTTCCACTTCAATAATCTTCGCGAGTGGTTGGTTCAATATAGCACACACGACGACATATTACCGGAGTCCGCTAGTTTATAAAAATTTCTCCATGGCGCAAGTCAAAAACTGTGAAAAATAAGGTTGTGGCGGACATAATCACAAAAAAAAATTAATCCAACAAACATAATAAAGGGCATTTTGTTAACTATTTTTGCAATGCAACTGAAGGCCGACGCCTTTTAAACATTAAAACAATATGATAAATTAATTATGAATTTGGATATGACAAATCATATTCAAAGTAAAATTAAGTTGCAATCAAATACTGTCTAAGGGTCCCTTTCAAGAAGCTCCTTCAAAAGTGATGTTCCAGAACGTGACTCCTTTGCTCCGTTCCTGAAATGGGAAAAACTTCGTGTTTTTGCTCTTTCTCGTCCAAATACATTTACAAAACCATATATATATATATATA